CCCACTGAGGGGGCACGGCTGGAGCCCCAGGTGGCCTGAGGACCCACGTGTGCATGGGTCCTGGAGGGTCAGGGGCTGTGGTGATGGTGCCAGACACTCGCAAGGCCGCCACCAGGCTTTGAGCAGTGGCATCACAGGCCGTGGCCACTGGCCGGGCAGTGACCACTGAGGCCATGCTTGTGGGGCCCAGGAGGAAAGGGGGAGCTGGCCCCCCAAGAGTGGCTGACTGGCTTCCGCACTGTCCGTCCCCTGGAGGTCAGCATAACCATGTCGCCCTACATCTGGCCTCGTGTGGGGGTGGCGCGGCGCGGGCAGGGTGCCGGTGGCCTGGGAAGGGGGTCTGGCTGGCTTGGGTGCTCTCTCCGTGCATCCCCAGGAAGAGCAGAGGGGCGGGGTGCCTGGAGGCAGCTGGCCAGGCCAGCCTGCACGGGAACTCTGGCCGAGTTTCCTGGGCGCCTGGCCCTGCCTAGGATTCCTGCAGTGGGTGCGCCCAGCTTCCGGCCATGTGGGCGGAGGGAACCAGGGCTCCCTGCTTCCGTCCTGCCCAGCTCCCAGTGTGCGGCCATGCGCCACTCAGGGCGCCGTGGGTCCACAAGGGCCACCACCAAGGCCTTGTGATGTGGGCACGCATGACCTTGACTGTCCACACGGCCAGGAAGGAGGCCCCAGAGGTGGCTCCGGTGTCCTGCCTGGCACAGAAGTAAGTCAAATGGCACCAGCACCTTGTGTCTCAGGCCTCCATTCCGGGGTCCTGGGGACGGAGCCATGCTCCCTCGACCCCTGTGCTATCCAGCCATGGGACCAGCCTGCAGGTGAACACTCCCGAAGCCATGGGCCACCACAGCCTCAGCCAGGCCTGATGAGGGCGTGGGCATGGCTGAGCCATGCTGGCAGGCCCAGGGAGGCCTGGAGCAGCTGAAGTCCCCTGCTTGGCCCACCTCCTCGGCCTTGTGCAGAAAGCGTGGCTGGGTGGCTCCCCTGAGCAGCGCCGGTGTGTGTCGGATATCTCCAGGAAGGCCCCAGCTCCTTGGATTGGCCGGGCTGTTTTGCTGAAAACTTACCAGCCTGGGGCCGGCCCTGCACTCGTGGGGGGTGCGGGAGGGGGTGCATGCTTCGATCTCGGCACTCAGGAAGCCGAGGCAAGAGGATCGCTGTGGGTTGGAGGGCAGCCTGGGCTGTGCCCACAGTGTTATCAGAACATGGCGTCCACAGGACGAGGTGGTCCAGCTCGCCAGGGCCCAAGTTCTCTACATGGGAGACTGCACATCCTCTCCGCGTGGGACCTCTCAGCCGCCTGGCATGAGGACATGGCCCTGGGCCTCAGTTGCCTCACGCTGGGCTGAGAGTGCCCCTGGCTGCCTCCACCTCATCCTCTTCAGCCTCTGTACTCTGCGGCCTCTGGGCCGTCTGCCCTCGTGCCCGGCGTCATTGGCCTGACCAAGGCTTGGCTGTGACCGTGCCCCTCAGTGTGTGGACAGGGCCGGGGCGGGACGGAGGGAGTGGGCCTTGGGGAGAGACTACCCTTGTCTGTATGGCTCACACTGATTCCAGGGCCCAAGCCCAGGGACCTGCGGATGGGGCATGCAAGCGGGTGACAGGCCTGTGCCGCGCCTTCCAGGGTCTGATGGAGCTGACCACACGAAGGGACCGGCCGACGCCCAGGTCGCTCTGCTGTGACCTCTGCATACCACCTGGGTGCAGTTTGCACAGGGGCTCAGGCAAGGAGCCTGCCTGAGTCACCAGCGATCCTGGCCCAGGAGGCCCAGGCGAGGCTAAGACTGCACCGGGGGTCCAAGCCCAGCAGAGCCCCTCAGGGCCCAGCTCTTGCCCACAGCTCACCCAGGTCGTGCCCCAGGCCCACCACGTCCCTGGTCCTGCCAGGCCACCCTGAACAGGCCACATCTGCCGGCACAGCCCTGCTGGAGCTCCTCCTCTGTCCGTCCCCATGGAAACAGGGGTGGGGCTGACTGGTTTCCATTAACGCAGCTTGCTTCCCTGGAGCCCTGCCCGGAGCCCAGTGTCCCTAGGGGCTCTCGCTGAATCTGGGCCCGGGAACCCAGGGCTCTGGCCCTGTCCACCCTCATGCCAAGGTCCTGCCTGCAGAGGGCCTCCTTGGACTCCTCAGGCTCCAGCCAGCAGCTGCTGTGGTCCCAGGTCCAGGCAGCCCTCCCAGCACCTTCTTGCTCTGGGCCTCAGTTTACCCATCTGTAACAGGAGAAGGGTTGGGTGATTGCTGGAGTTCCTTGCAGTGCCGTGGGAATTTGTTTGACTTCAGAGAAGGCTCTTCTAGGGCCTGGACTCCCGGAACCTGACCAAAAACCAGAGATGGAGAGGCCAAGTGGCAGCAGGGACCTGGGGACACCCAGCATGGAAGGCCTGGCTTTGTGGGCAGCCAGAGGCCACCTGCCAGGCCCTTGGCACCAAGGACCTGGCCCTGAGTGCAGTGCCCGAGACAGCAAGAGGGCAGAGATGAGGGCAGCGATGAGCTCAGCCCTGGAACGCCACAGCCAGCCGTCCCCTGGGGAAGGCATTGCAAGTCTGTGTGGAAGAGCCGCCTGGCCTGGGCCAGCCGGTGTGCTAGTGGCTGTCACCTGCCTCCTCCGGCTGCGCAGGAGAGGGATGCTCTGCTAGCCTGTGGGCTGGCCTGCCCCCGCCTGGCCTCTGGGGGGAACCCTGCCCTGGGGACATGAGGAGCAGAGCCTTGGGCTGCAGCCCTCTCACAGCCCTGCCCCTGCGGATCGACCTGGTAGCTTAGGCGGGCCTTTTGTCTCCTGGCTGCGATGTCCTGACTGCCCTGCCCCGCAGGTGTAGGGGGGTGGGGTAGAGGAGGCGGCGAAAGCATTTTTGGTTTTCGGCCCTGGGCAGCGGTGTGATTTGGGTCGGATGGCTGCCCCGGCTGCTGGTACTCTGTGTGTGCCCGTGCACGTGTGCGCGCACGCACACACACGCACACACATACACATGCATGCACGCACACACTCACACGCACACACTCACACATGCACGTGCCCACCCGGCAAAAGTAGGCCGAGGGAGTTGGCGCAGGCAGCAGGCTGCAGCCAGCCAGGCTTGATTTAGACGTCTGGGAGGCTGGGATAATGTAGGAAATGAAGGAAATTTCCCCAGGGAAGGGGAGACAAGACAGAGGAGCTTAAGTGCCCAGATAATTGGGGAGCGTGGCGGGTGATTTATGGAGGCCCAGCTCCTCCGCAGCCCGCCGCCTGCCCTCCTGGGCCCGCTCTCTGGGGGCCCGCAGTGGGCGTGGCCGGCACCCCAGCTCCACTGTCTCCTGGGGCTGAGCCCCGAGTGGGCGCTGGGCAGGAGGCACCGCGTGGGGACAAAGCCGCCCTGTGTGCCAGGCTGCGGCATCTGCTATTGGGGTGACCTCACAGAAGCCCGGCCCGCTGCCAGCCAGGCTTGTAGGGGAGGAAGCTGAGCCTGCAATGCGCCCCTCAGAGGGCCTGGGCCAGATCCGTTGCTGTCCTGAGCCCCGGGCCTTTGCCACTGCCCACTGCCTTGGTTTCTCCACCTGCCCCTCACGTGGCTAGCTCCCTGGAAGCTTCTAGGGCCTGACAGCCCCCTGGGCTGACAGGGTCACTGGGATGGGTCAGTGACCAGGTGGTCCACTGGGCACCCAGGGTCCTGGACACGTGGGACCCACTTGGAGGGCACCGCAGGTGGCATGTGTCCCAGTCACCCATGCCCCCTGACTGGATAGAGAGGGCCACTTCTGTGTTTTCGCCTTCTCAACCCCAGAACTTGGCTCAAATAAAGCCCGGTGCCCTCTGGGAGGCTGATGCAGGAGGATCTCAATTTTTGAGTCCAGTCTGGGCAACTTAGTGAGACGTTTTCAAAATAAACGGGGTGGGGGGGGCAAAGAGATGGCTCAGTAGAATAAATGCCTCCCTGGCAAGCACAGGGCCTGAGTTCAATCCCCATTTCTGCCAAAAAAAAAAATAAAATAAAATAAAAAATAAATAAATAGATAAACAGTGGGCGAATGCTGTAGCTCTGTGGGAAGACCCTGAGTTCAATTTCCAGTGCCAGGAAAACAGACAGGAAAATCCCTGGGGTCTCCAAGCCCCAGACTCTGTATCGGAGGGAGGGCGTTTCTATGAACGCAGCCCCTGGCTGAGGTGCGCTGGGCTCCCCAGGTTGCCGCCAGGTGGCATCCCCGAAAACCGCTCCATGTGTGAGGTGCTGGGAGGCGGCCTTGCAGCACTCTCGGGGGGTGGGGGCGTGTGTGCCGTTGGAGCAGGGCGAGGTGACCCACGAGCTCTGTGAGGCCAGGTCCTGTGTCCAGCATGGCTGCTGTCCACCGGGGTGACTTCATCACCACCCTGGCCCTGCTAGAGCGCTACGTCCGTGTCCAGGCGGCTTGGGGTGGCCGGGTCCCTCTGCAGTCACACAGAACGCACAGGTCTGTCCCAGCCTCCTGGGTCTGCGCACCGAGCCACTCTCCTGACCCGGCTCTTCTGGGGCTAAGAAAAGCATTGGGCAGGCTTGTCACCCAGGGGAGACCCTCAGTGGGTCCATCCTGCCTCTGGGTCCCCACAAGACCACGGAGGCTGGGGACACGGGAAGGAGAGGGACACAAGCTGATGTCCACAGGAAGTGGTCAAGTGCAGGTGACAGGGTCCAGAGGACCCGGCCTCCCAGCCGGCGGGGCCTCCTGAGCCTCAGTGTCCCCTTAGCGTGCAGAGACCACACAAGCCACTGCTTGGGACAGACCCCAGGACTCAGGGGCGCCCTTCCCATCCGTGGGTACCAGGCACTGTGCAAGCCCAGGACAGGGCTGTGGGGGCAGCGCCTGCACAGGGTTCCCGGCCTGGGCGCCCAGGTGGAGCTGCAAGCCCAGAGGGCTTCCTGCAGGAGGGGACGGCCATCGCTCCTGGTGAGCGCGAGCACTAGATGAGCGGGCTGCTGCGTAGAGCCTGGTCCTGGCTGCCCCACCGAGGGCCACCTGCCCGCTGACCTCTCCGACTTCTCGTGTCTTTCAGAGTTTGCCAGTCGCTGAGCAGAGCCCACCATGGTGGCACCGGGACCTGGCACCCAGGTAGGCCAGGCAGGGGGCTCACCAGTGCCAGGTGCCTTGGGGGGAAGCTGGCAGAGAAGGCCATGCCGGTCTTAGGGAGCCGGGCCTCTGCCTGACCACAGCCCCACAGTGCCACCAGCATCCCCCACAAGGTCAGGGACAGCACCGCTGGGAGACAGCCTAGCCCACCGTGCTGGCTGCCCACCCGGTCAGGCCCGATGGTCCTTGAGCCTCAGTTTGCCCAGTTACAAGTGGAGCAGGAGTTGCGGAGTTGCAGCGAGCTCCACAGGTCCTCCAGGGAGCTGGACGACAGGACGCCCCAAATAGGTGGTGCAGGTGTCCTCCACTCCCCTCCTTTGGTCCGTCACAGTGGAGCTGTGTGCCGGGCAGTGTAGGCAGCCTCTGTCCATGGGTCCCAGGGCGGAGGCCTGTGGTGGCCACGTGGCTTCCGGTCAGGAAGGACACAGGCAGGACCAGGTGGGAGAGGTCACCGCTTCGAGTTCCAGAGCCTGAGCAGTCCCCCTCAGCCCACACTCTGCCTGTGTCCCTGTCCATGTCACCTGTCCACGCCATTGCTGGGTGGCAATGGCCTTGCCCCACCCTCTCTCTTGGGTCCTTACGACTCCTCAGACACAGCCTCAGGGCCCCAAGGATGCACAGGGGCAGCCATATCCGGGGGGACCCAGCCGTGGCCTCAGGTCCTGCCCTGGAGGTCCCCAGCCCGCTTTACTGCTGTGGTCCTGGGGCTCACGCTAGATCTGGCCCCAGACCCGTGGGAGACGCAGCCGGGTTCCATGGCAGGGAGGGAGCCAGGGGGCTACCTGCTCCCTCACTCATACAGCCACAGACAGAGCTAGGGCCTCCCCAGAAAATAAAAATAAGCAAAGAGGAAACTGAAAGGAGACCTCCAAGCATGCCATGTGGAGGCCTCCTTGTTGCTGGTGGAGACCTGAAGCTGAGCTCCGAGCTTCCTAGCTGCCAAAGCGAAAAGGGAAAGCCACCTATTGCAGCACTAAGTGACATCTGGGGATCCAGAGGTCCCCAAGCCTGGCCATGCCGTGGAAGACAACAGGGAGAGAGGCAGTTCCTGTCACGTCCTGAAAGCCCCAGTGCTAAACACAACCTGGAGAGCGACAGTGCGAACACACCAGGCTGAGCCTGTTCCTGCCTTTGGGTCTGTGCACTGCTAATGCCTGGTGCCCCTTCGGGCCATGAACTGAGATGTCCGAGCCGCAGTGCCTGGACACTGTCCCACAGACTAGGCGGCCCCTCAGCCCATGAGCTGCCTGGGCACACGTGGGCCCAGTTCCTGGTGGCCCTGATGTGCATCCCTCTCCTTCCAGGTCTTGCCTGCTTCCGCCCCTTCCCAGGGCCACCTGCCGCTCAGGACCACATGTCCAGGTAAGTACAGTATTCGATGTGTGGCTGCAATTGGGGCTATCATCCCCTCATGGCCACTGTCCTTGGCTGGGCAGCTGGAGTCAGACCAGAGTGGCTGGCGTGCCCAGGTCCCACAGGCCTGGTCCTCTCGTGCTCCCGTCCTGCCCGGCTGGGTCCTGGCTCCACTTTGGATGTCCACAGCCCCTCGGCATCAGGACGAGTCTTCCAGGCTCTGTAGGGACATGGCCCAGGGCCCTGACCACCCTGGCCACCCCGAGGTCTGTGAGGGTGGCCTGGCTGCTTTGCCTTCTCTGTGGCACCCCCAGGAGTCGGTAGTGTAGTTTGGCCAGTGTTGTGGGGGCCTGGGGGCTGGGGACTCCCTGTCCCCAGTATCCTGTGGGCACGGCACTGGGGGAAGCTGCGACCCAGGTGGGCCCTTCATGTGGACTCAGCCCCAGGTGTGCCCTGCCATGCAGGGGCCCAGTGACACATGTGGCAGGGGTGAGGCCTGTACACCAGGGGCTCAGGCACACTAGGCCATCACTGTACCACTGAGCCGTGTCCTGACCCTCTTTTAAAATTTTATTTTGAGATGGGCGCTGGCTAAGGGGCCTAGGCTGGCCTTGAATTGGTGATCATCCTGCCTCTGCCTCCAGGGAGCCGGGATCGTAGATGTGCAGGGTGCGATTTTTCATTGAGTCAAACTTGCTGTCCTTGACATCTGCTCGGATGGACCTGGGACAGGGGAGGCCTGGCACAGCAGCCCCGCGGGCCCCGCGCTCTGCCCACTTCGAGCTGTCATCACTCTGGGCCAGCAGCGCCTGTCTATACTCAGGGTCTGGGGCAGACCCACAGCCGACCCCGAGCTGTGGCCACTGCTGGTCTGAGGGGAGTTCTGTGAGGGCCTCCCAGGACCCTCTGCGGTCATAGCCACAAAGTGTCAGGAGCTGGGCAGATGGGGCAGTGCCCAGCGAGTCAAGCTGCGGCAGGTCAGCCTGCACAGGGTCCCATCTTGCCCGGGGGAGAGGCAGGGCGGCTGTCCGGGTGTTCTGGGGGCAGGCAGGCAGGGACTGTGTGCCTTGTTTGCCCTTAAAAACACTGTCGCTTGGTCTTTCCATCCCAGACAACTGTGGGCTCCACACCCCGCAGATGCCCGGCAGACCGAGTGCCTGGACGCTGGGCCCCCTCGAGGTGCGGCTCCTGGCGCCCGCCCCCACAGAGGCATCCAGGCCCCTGGCTGCCGAGAGACCTCAGACAGCTCAGCGCCCCCGGGTCTCCGTTCCCTGACCCCCAGCACTGGGCAGAACGGACCCTCCCACCCTGCCGGCTGTCCCCGGGGGCAGCATGTGCCCTAGCACCACTTCCAGGTTGGCAGCCATATTGGGCATCTAGATGGGGATTTGAACTAAGGCCCGGTGAGCATGGGGTAGACCTGCCCCCACCGAGAAGCAGGGCCTGGGGAGGCCCTTGAAGGGCTGTCCACCCCTGAGAATTGTCAGGGCACCTGTGGCTGCGTACGTGGCAGGCTGCTGGTGGCCCTGCCCTCCAGGATGCCCCTGCTGCCATGGCAACCCCTGCTGTGAGGAGGCTGTAGGCTTCCTCCCAATTTGGCCCTCTCGTTTGCCACGCAGGCCCTATCCCCAGCTGTGCATCAGCTGGTCCCCATCCCTGAGAGCAGCGTCTGCCCTCTGCCATTGCCCCGCATCCCCCACGGGCCTCAGTTTACCGACTGAAGAGTGGGCTTGCCCTCCACCACATAGGCCAGGAGGGGTGCTGCGGCTGGGCATTCGGCCCCTACAGCTGTCCTGTCTCTGTGCTGTGTCTGGGGCAGGACGGGGGCAGGCAGCCACCTGGGGTCACCCAAGGGTTCTATGGGCTCGCTGGGTGCCCACTGTCTGCCCCGAACAGGCTGCGAGAACAGCAGTATTTGTGGGAAGCCTCGTGAGCAGGGCACACGGATTCGGGGGGTGGCCGGCACAGAGTGGCCCGACGCACCGAGCCGGGCGACAGGGGTCCTCTCAGCACCCTCCTCGCGGGTGCCTGGTGGCTGCGCCAGCTCCTGGTCAAACAGCCCTGCTGGCTGTCCTTGGGCCTGTGGGCAGCGCCAGCCCAACAGTGCAGGCCAGCCTTGGCCACGGGGCGAAGGCCACCAGCCTGGGGAAAGAGGGCCCGGCCTCCCCCGCCAGGGTGGGCGACTCGCGTCCCGGCTGGTGGCCCTCTGTGGAGGGAGGCAGGCTCCGCGCCCCAGGCCTCGGCGCCGGGCAGCACCCTGCTCCGGAGCAGATGGCCCCCCTCCTCCCTGCCCGCTGCCTGCTGCCCGCTGCTCTGCCCTCTGGCTCCGGCCGCCTTTGTCTTCCTGAGCCCCACAAAATGGCTGCCTCAGCCCTCCACCATTTTGTCACTGAGGTGGGCAGTGGCCTGCAGGGAACAGAGGGCGCCCTTGCCCACTGCTGCCCTGGGTGACCTGGACAGAGCCCAGCCCCGCCCCTGCCCCGCCTGGCCCTGGCTGTGGCTGCCCAGGCTTGGCGTAGCCCGCCACTTGGCAGGGCGGCCCGGGAGACGCGGCCCCTTACCCGGCCGCCTCGGCCCCTCGCCCGCCTCGGCCTCCCTGCCGGGCACACAGGAGCTGAGCTAGATGAGGTGGCAGCGGGGAGGCTCCAGAGGGGACCGCGGCCCCCAGCAAGGGAGGCAGCGCCCCGCGGCCCGGCTCGGCGCGGCTCCTGGCCTGCACGGTGCCCCGGCCGGTGTGCCCTCATCTCCCGTGGCCAGCCAGCTCTGCACGCTCCCCTCGTCCCCAGGAAGTAGCCGGGCAAGGCCACTGTGGCCCGCAGGGTGCCCCGGCCGGCACGCCTGTGTCTCCCGTGGCCAGCCAGCTCTGCACGCTCCCCTCGTCCCCAGGAAGCAGCCGGGCAAGGCCACTGTGGCCCGCAGGGTGCCCCGGCCGGTGTGCCCTCATCTCCCGTGGCCAGCCAGCTCTGCACGCTCCCCTCGTCGCCAGGAAGCAGCCGGGCAAGGCCACTGTGGCCCGCAGGGTGCCCCGGCTGCCCGCACGGCTGTGCTGGGTCGAGCGCGCTGGTCCCGTCCGGCCGTGTCCCCGCAGGACCCTGTGCCGACCCTGCTGCCGGGAGCCCTGGCCCCTCCGCGCTCCCTGCCTGCCTCTGCCCGTGTCAGCAGCTCCCTGCTCGGACCCCACGGTACACTTGGTGAGGGGCAGCTCGGAGACATGGGCTCCGTCTCTCCAGTGGTGGCAGGAGATGTGCTGAGGGTCAGCTCCTCGCCGTGGAGGAGGCCACTGCAGGTACAGCAGTGCCCTGCCCCAGAGCCCGAGCGGCCCCAGCCCTGCGCAGATTCCTGCTGCGGTGCCTGGAAGTGGCGTGTGTGCGGCCTGCCCTCTCTCCTGAGGATCCTGCCTGAGACAGGGCGCTGGGATGCTACCTGCTGGCCACCTGCCCGGGTCAGTCCCTTCCTACGTGTTGCTGCAGGCCCGGCGCCCCCGAGAGCCCAGGAGCCCAGACAAGAAAGGACCAAAGAAGGCTGGGCCCCACCTGGAAGACAGGGAGACGGGGACAGAGTGGCTGCAGGTCACTTGGACCTCGGGGGCTACTGAGGTCTGTGCTGCCGCCTTCTCCTTGGTCCTGGCCTCGGGCATGACGCCCCACTTCCCGCTGCCACGGGCAGCCCCTGGAGCTGGCATCCTTGCCAGCCTCACAGGACACCCGAGGGCCACCAGCCAGCCGGTTGTCATGGAGACAAGGGTCAGAGCTCTGCCCGCGCCCTCCCCCACACCTGGGGGCCCCTGGGGACAGGAAAGCAGCCTGGTGGGGAGACTTGCAGCTGGCAGACCCTGTCCTGCATGCCAGCCTCTGCAGCATGGCAGAGGGGCACTGGGCCCGGGCAGGCCAGCCGTGGGTGCTGTCCAGAGCCCGAGGCATCAGAGTCCAGCTCGCCTTTGCCACTGCATCCCAAGGGTGGGCTTCTGGGGACTCGCAGCCCTGGGGCTGCTGTGGCCTTGCATGGCTCTGAGCTTGATATTTCTATAGGATGGACCCTTTTGCCTTGCACGGTATTTTCCTTAATCTTACACGAAGACATCGGTTTGGGGGCCTCTTAAAATGCCAGGACCCGGACTGGCCCCGTGGGTGCGGCTGGCCTCGGACGTGCATCTGGTTAAGTTTATGGGCCGTGCGCAGGGAGCCCCGGATGCCGGCCCGCAGCTTCCCAGACGCCATTGTTGGCACGGCCTGCTGAGCAGAAACACTGGCCGCTTTATGGGAGAAACCCAATCAGGGTGGGGGCTGGCTCGGGGTGGCCCTGCGCCAGGCCTGAGGTGACCCCAGGGTGGCACCGTCTGTCTGCCTCGCCTGCTCCAGACGCCCACCCGGCCCTGCAAGGACCGCCTGCCCGCCCAGCCTCCGCGCACCTGTCCTGGCTGCCCAGCCTCCCCCGCCCGGCTGCCCGGCGCCCTGCCCACCACGGATGCCGCGGGGCCGGGCAGGGCTGAGGTGGCAGATGGCGGGGCGGCTGCTGACGGCTGTGCTGGGGCACCCCACTCCCACGGCTCTGCCCACCCTGCCGCCGCGACCCTTCCCTGCTTTCCCTGAGTGGCCCGGTGGCCAGGTGCCATGTGCCCTTCCCCAGGCCTCTGTGTCCAGGACAACCCCAGGTTCCAAGATGGCTGCTGGCCTCCTCCTCAGGCTCTCAGTTCTGCCCACCTTGGCTCTGGCCAGCGGAACCTGAGGGGGCAGCTGGGACCAGGTGGCCTCTGTGTGGGACAGCACTGGATTGAAGAGGTCTGAGAGCCCACTTCGTCCCAGAAGGGTCCTACGCCTGTGCCCAGGGAAGGGACAGAACTGCATCACTCCCCTGTGCCTGGAGGAGGCGGCCAGCCCTACCCAGAGGAGGGTAGGCCACAGCTCTGTGGAAGCCGGTGCTGTTGCTTTTGTTTCTGAACCCCAGCAGGTCCAGACCGTGGCTGTGGGAGCCCCTGTCCACAGCAGCCGCCTGCCTGCCTTCCCTGGGAAGCAG